CCTACGTAGGTCATAAACACCTTGTCAGGTAAGGAATGGTGCTGGGAAACAAATGACTTCTGAAGGAACCTTCCACTGAGTGGTCTCAGAACTGAGAAAACTCACGGTCAGCACTCCACAGCTCCATATCTTTGAAGACAAGAACTTCTCTCTCTTTTTTTAATCTTAAAGCAGACTGGTACAGATATGAATGTTAGCAGAAGAACTCAGAAGGTCAAAGTTGAGGCAAGAAGCCAAAAACTAATTTCTTTCCTGTCACACTTTATCTTTTTCCATGCTTCTTGTAGAAGAAGAATGCTGCGGGGGCTGGGCCTTAAGGAGAAAATAAATGACAAGCCAAAAGAGATAAGTCCTGATGTAAATATTTGACATTGTCTTACACAGAACCATCTATCTTATGTCTGGTAGAGTCAGGCAGAGATTTCAGAAGGAAAAAAAAATAGAGTAATTTATATGGATGCTAGTAAGACTAAAATTGGGATTGTCTAAGATTTTTGGAAAGCCAATTGAACTATTTGACACCTCTGTTTTTGGATCTAAAAAAATTAAATTAATATGGGAAAGTAAAGAAATTATGTATTATACAATATAATGATCTAGGAAAAATATTATTTTATTAAAGCAACAATTCATTTTGCACCCCATCTTGCCTTCTAGAGACTGATTTTATCAAAATAAAATTTTATTATAATCAGCCCTCAGCAAATTAGAAGCTCATCAGCATTCAAACACTGCATCCTACGAAAAGGTTGGAGGAAGCAGAGAGAGTGAGTGATCAGTTGGAAGGAAAGGGGAGAGAAAGAGGAAGGGCTCTTAGATGGAAGGATAGCAAGGCTGAAGTAGGAATTTAGATAAATAGCAAGTGACTAATGGAGATTTAATTAACTCATGTGCAATATAACTCCCTCTCTCCCCGTTCCTTAGGAAATCTTCAGTGAATCCAATAATCTTCACAGAAGCTTTTGATTTCAATGGATTTGTTATGGTGATTATAAAAATTAAAAGTAGATTCTTTTTGCTACACATGCATTGGGTCATGACTGGCACTGGACAAAACCAGAAGCTACATATGGGTGACTCTGACACTTCACCTCTAAGGATACCAAGCAATGACATCACATCTAGTATGTAAAATATGAGGGGAAAGCATTCTCAACCCAAGCGCTTTCAGAAGCTTACAGTCACTATGAGGGGTATGGGCTGAAAGCATAATAGCTCCAAAAAATTGAGAAAGAATTGGAAGTAATCAAAGTGTTTGAGGGAACTCCTCTGGTTGGGGAAACTGACATAGGGGACTGTCGGGAAGATCCCAATAGGCAGCTCCCCGGGGCCTGGGGCAGAGGCAGAGTCCTGGCTGGGAGGATTCTTGTTCGCCCCAGGAGGCCATGCGAGAGTCCTAGGTTGAGGTGTTTCAGGACCAGAGAGAGAGCAGTTTGGTTTTTTGCTTATATTTTGTTTTATCATTCACTAAAACACTTAAGCATGATAAAAGAAAGCAATTCTAACAGCAAGTGAAAGTTTTGAGAAACAGGAAAACTGTTTAAAAGGGGGAAAAGGTGAGGGTGGAGGTTTGTTGTTCATGGATTACAGCCAGTTCCTTCTTCTTGATGGTGATTCTTACAAGTGATGTGCTGTTATGAACTGGAATAATAGCTAATGACCAGAGTGACTCACTGAAGGGATGATGGGAAATTGGTCAACGAAGTACGGCAACTTTTGGGTAATAGGTCACTTTATATCTTCTGGCTTGGCCCGCTCTCTCCCTCCCTTTGCTCCTAGAATTTCACCTGAACGTCCCTTTTCTGCTTTATTGCATCAAGAAAAGTTGGATCCAACTCTAACTTTTTAAAGCCTCTTACAGGAAACAAACCTATGAATCAACGGCTCAATGGGGGTGACCTAATCACTAGTCCAGGCTTCCTGCCATCGGCAACCCACCAAACTCTTCACTCCTTCAGAAGATTTCTTTATAGAGGCTGTGAGCGCTAATTATTTGCAGCTGCTGCTGAGCTTGCTGGGTGCGACAACGTGATGGGCTCCCCCTAGAAGTCTGGCAGACTGACCAGCATATATGGGGCTATTGACCCAGTCTTAGGAAAATCAAAGATACTGGGAGTATAGAAATTATATGGGGGGAAATCCTAAGAGCAACCTCAGAAAAGTCTCTGTAGAAATGTATATTTTGCTCAAAAGCAGCCAATTCCAGAACTGTTAGCTTTAGAGAGAAAGTACCAGCAGGGAATTGTAGAACATAGTAAAAAGTGGTGATCAGTGGGAGAGGATAAAGGAAGGAAAGAATGAATCACCACTGGGAGACTTGGATCTAGGAAGGCAATTGCTCCCCAGGGTGGCATATTGGAGGAAGGGAACAGCCCAGCCCAGGAGCAATGGTAGTAAGTGGAGATGTTCGAGCTGGTAGTAACCTCAGGGTAGGAATGGGATGAAAAGGATCACAGGAAGGAAGTGGGCACATGCTGAGGCCTGGCCAGGTGGAGCGGTATCTTCAGGACATTCAAGCAGGCACCTGCAAGGGCCAGCCTTCAACCTAAAAATGGGTAGTGCTTACATGCTTTCTAAACAAAGACAACATAGCTGCCTTTGGAGAATTAGGGAGTCAGTACAGGTGTCTTTTTTCACTTGTTTTTTTTTTTTTGAGTCAAGGCTATTTACTGAAGAGTGCCTCGAAGGGTCATATTTTACTTAATAATTTTTGTGACACTAATTTCTTGTATTTTTGAAAATGATTGAAATGCATAGATTTTCAAAAACATAATGTTTATAGTTCATGTCAAGATAGGCTATTTCAGTCATTCAGAGAGCAGATTCTTGGTCAGTTCTTGTATTGTCCATAGTTCCCTATTAGCAGATAATATCCAAAAATAAACGATGCATAAGGAAATTTACATTTTGTTTTTCAAAAGTTATGTTGCATCAAATAGGTAACTTTCTATAAAGTGGAGCAAGAACATACTAACTCGTCTGTGACTCTGTGTTTACAGCCACAGAGCTGGAGAGGCACCATTCTCTACTGCACATCCAATTGTGTCAGAATTTTCTAATTGTGCCAACTTTCAAATCTTCCACCTTCTCCCTGTAAGAGACACCCTTGGTATTCCCCTCAGGAATCAACATCCTAAGATTCTGGCCCTTTATCAAAGCTATCCTGTCAAAAGCTGGTCTTTTAAAAGGAATGAGTAAATTCAACAATGTGACTGATTTCAGTGTTACCTGCCTTTTGTTGAATTTGAATTTTAATAAAAATCACCCAGTCCCTTTAAAAATATCTCCCTAAAGCAATTTCTCAGACAAAATCTTTACAAGGAATCAAAATCTTATTTCAAGACTGCTGTAAGGGAAAAGTTGTTTGAGAAAGCCAACTGAGTGTTGGTAGAGCCTTAGTATGAAAGATGAGGGCATAAACTCTGATTATAAGATTGGATAAGAAAGTAAAAGAATGTGCGCTAAGATCACTAGACTCTCTGAGGTTAAAGTTATTAGGTTGCTACCAGGGATGACAGACAAGGTATGCAGTTCACAGAGAGGCCTCCTAAACTCATTAAAATCTATCAAGTAGGAATTCTGATTTCTTCACAGAAGGAACAGCTAGCTGATCACAGCAGATCATAACTTCTGCCCCAGCTCAGGGCTGAGACTACTTTTTCTCTCATATGTATCCTGAACATTTTTTCGTACTTTTCATTGATTCGCTTTTTTAGACATTAGCAAATATCCAAATAAGGAAGACAAAACTAGAATATTAAAAAAAAAACATGGAAACTCATGACTGCAATTATATCAACCTTTATCATCGCTTCTTTGTCTGAGTGAATTTTAAAAGGTAAGCTTCACATCCTGAGTTTAAACTGGGAAAAGGAGCCAAGTCTAGCTTCCAATTCAACATTAAGCAGAGAATTAGGAGCAGACTAGTTTCCTGACTACTATACTATTAACTTACATAATCATAAAATAGGGCATAGGAATATAAAGTTTGGAGGAAATTCCAGATATAATAGAACACTTTATAAATTTAAATATACTACATGGCACCTAATATTTAGGCATATTTATTAAAAATAAACAAAACAACACATAAATGAGATGATATAGATGAAGAGTTTGTTTTATTCCACACAAGCTTTAAAAAGGTATTCAGCTACAGTATGAACTGACAGGGTAATGTGAATTCATAATCTAATTTGAGGTCTGTCACAAACTTTTGAAAAGCTATTGATTGCCCTTGTGGATAGAAAAAATGTCATATGAATAATCATATCATCAAGTAACTCAAGCTCACTAGCTATGTGAATTTAGGTAAATTATTTAGCCACTATTGTGGAAGGATGTTGTAATCACATGGGTTAATGCATATAATGCACTTAGAACAATACTAGTTACATAAGGTACATTCAGTAAAAGTTACCTTTCATTATCACTGTTGTTTGTATTATATGAGTTTGAGTTATTTGATGTGATACCAAATTCCATGGTAAAAAGACTCTCTCAATATCCAAATGGTAGCCTACAACCAATCCGAACAACGGAAGAGTACTACAGCGACTGTCAGAGAAACATTACTGAAATAAAGTAAAAATGTTGGATCAGTTAGTTCAAGTCTTCACACAGAAATTGAAGAAGAGAAAACTTAAATTCTCTTCTTCCCAGACACACGGTTGTATGCATTTGCCGGCATCCAGGGGGCCATGGGACCGTGTATGGATCGTGGGCAGAAGTGACATGTACCCTTCCATCTTGGACAAAATGGAGGACTCCAATGCCCCAGATGGTGGCAGAGCCACCCCTTGGAAGAAGCCTGGACCCCTGAGTGACTGTGGAGCAGAGGCCCTGCTCTCCTCTCCTCTCCCCTGCATTGGACTACAGTTATGCATCATAAATAAACTTTAATTGTGTTATAAACATTTGACAGGTTTTTTTTTTTTTTTAATGGCAGCATAGCCTGACTAATACAGAAATCTTGTAAAACTGGTAAAATGTAAATTGATTTTTCTTCTGGTAAAGTAGAGTGTACCCTTGAGATAAAACTATAAAGCACTCCCATCTCTGGTGAGTAATTTTATGAAGTGCTTGTGGCAATTGGTGGAAAGAGGCCGAATGGAAAATCCCCTTGCATCAAGCTGTGAGTAGTGTTGTCTTTTCAGCTTGGCCATCCAAAATTGGTCCCCAGCTTCCCTGTTTTGGAAACCTCAAAATACGGTAAGCGGTTTCAATTACACCATTCTACGAGAAATTACATTTTTAAAAGCATTATTAATTAAACCATCATTTTTGTAAGGATGTAGATGAGATTTACTTGCTACAAATCTCTAGACACAGAGGCAGAGTCAATTTCTAACACAAGGGGAGAGAAAGAAGACTTTGAAGACAGAGTCTTTGAGTGCTAGTGTTCCAAGCAGAAGAACCTTCCATAAGCCAATCTACTTTGGGCTCCATCTGGGAGTAAATCTAGTCATCAGAGCTTTTCACAGGATGCAGCAAGTTGGGGATAATCGTTATTGTCCTTGGGGCAACATAGTCAGAAGGTAGTTGCTGTGATAGAGGGTCCCAAAACAAAACTGAAAACCACTAAAGAGTCATACACTGAAATAAAACAATTCTCCATAAACTCATGCCCCTCGGTACTCAAACCAATGTCCAAACGCCTCAGTACAGACTATAGGCCCTTTGTGATCTGGTGTTTGTTTACCCTAGGGCCACATCTCTTCCCACCCTCCCTTAGCAATTTACGCTGGCCACACTGAACCTTTTATAGCTTCTTCAATTGCTCGTGCTCTTTCTCACCTGCAATTTTATTTGTACATGTTGTTTCCCTTTTCGCAGCTGCTAAAGATCTTTCCTACTGACTCCACGACTTGGTTAATTGAAAAGAGATTCAAGGAGGCAACCGATCGTGATGAAGGAAGTTGGTACTCGGAGAGGATTCAAAGTAATATGCTTCGTAATGGTGACCTTTCCAGCCTCCACTTGGATGTCCTTTCCACGTGGAAGCCGTCTGGTTAGTGGCTTCATCTACGTTCTCCAATAGTTGTGTGTGTGCCAACGTCTTCCAGTTACCGTGCTCTGTCCCCAGTGTACCCCGCCCTCCACCACCCCCAGCACACACACACACACACACACACACACACACACAACTGAGAGCTTCTTGAGAGCAGTGCTCACGTCTTGTCTATCCCTGTTGTCTCTCAGGCCTCAGTGCCTAGGAATTTGTCGAAAGATTAAATGAATGCACTGACCACCATCATCAAAATAAGTAGCTGAAACAGCCCCACCATTCTACTTTTCACTCCAAGGTAAACAATACTATTTTTGGACATCTTGTGTCTCTTTGATGCTGCCTTTAATGGTCACTTACAATTTATATCTTTTGTATCAAAATGCATAAGGAAATGGAATATATGCTGTATTTTGTCCACAGAATTCTTTTCCAGCCCAGGGGCCACTCATGGACCATAGCAATGACAAACCTTTGTTGTTTGTTTGTTTTCAGAGACGGGATCTCACTCAAGCTGGAATTCAGTGGCTCCGTCATAGCTCACTGTAACCTCAAATTCCTGGACTCACGTGATCCTCCCACCTCAGAGTCCCTAGTAACTGGGATTATAGGCACTTGCCACCACACTTGACTACTTAAAAGAAAAATTTGTAAAGATAGGGTTTTGCTGCGTTAGCCCAGGCTAGTGTGTAACTCCTGGCTTCAAGCGATCACCCCACCTTGGCTTCCCAAAATGCTGGGTTTGGAGGTGTGAGTCATCACACCTGGCCCTCCTTTTTTTTTTTTAATCAAATAAGGGCAATTTGGAAAAAAATTAAAATGATTATGATTTTCATTTTTGAATTAAAAGTAAAAAAGCGCTATTGAGGTAAAAAGGTATATTTCTATAACTCAAATAACATATTGAAAGAGAACTCAATAAAAAGGGAACTACTTTAAAAATATATCATTTTAACTTTTCATTCTATAATGAATAATTTCAGACTCACAAAAAGTTGCAAAATAGTACAATGATTTCCCATATTTTTCACCCAGGTATCCTAATACTAACATATTATACTACCACAGTTTTCAAAATGAAGAAATTATTATTGTTATACTAGTAGTACTATATCTATTTTATAGACTTTATTTCAAATGTCACCAATTGTTTCACTGATGTATTTTTTCTGACTCAGGAGCCAATCCAGTATTATCCATTGCATTTAGATGTCACACATCCTTATTGTCATTTTTGGAAAACTCCTCAATTATTTAGTCTTTAATGACATGGACAATTACTGTTCGGTTATCTTGCAGAATTTTCTTACATTTGGGTTTGTCTGATTTGTCCTCCTGATTAAGTTCAGATTATGCATTTTCGTTAATAACATAGAAGAAGTGTTGTATTCTTCTTAATATATTATATCAGGAGGCACTTTTTATTCAGTTTGACCACTTGGTTAAGGGAGTATCTGCCAGATTTCTCCACTGTAAAGTTACTGTTTATTTTCCTTTATAATTAATAGATATCTTATGGAGAGATAATTGAATATGATAAAAATATTCTGTTTCTCATTACAAAAAATATTTTGTTTCTCATTATACTTTCACCCTCTAATGTCAACATGCATTGGGGATCTCTGCCTAAAACAATTATTACTATGGTGCTTAACAAACAGTAATTTTTTATATCCTTCATTCATTCTACATTTATTAGTTGGAATTCTGCTGAAAGGAAGAGTTTTCTTATTTATTTATTCAGAATGGACTCATGGATTCGTATTTTAATAAACGGGTTAAAATCAATTACTATCACTATTTACTTATTGTTCAAATTGTTCCAGGTTTGAGGGTAAAAGTGATATCATAATTTTGTATATCCATAGCACCTGCCACAGGGCAGGCACAGTGGATGCTCAAAAAAATATTTGCTAAGTCATTAAGGATGCTAAAGGGAAAAAATAGAACTTGATTATTTTTTATGCATAATAATGAAAATGAGAATACGAAGTAACTTTTATTTATAGATGGTTTCTAGAAAATTTAAAGCAGCATGGTAAGAAACTCATGATAAAAAGCGTAATGTCAATTAGAAGAGAAGGTTGGTGCAAAGGAAAAACTGAAGTAGGAATATGTAATGGAAATAAGAATAAGGCTAGTGCTCAAAATGTGTTACTTGAAGATGTATACGTTCGCTGAGAATAGAAAGCAGAATTGTTTGCTTCATGGAGTTCGATTATGGTGACAATAATGAAACCAGGATTGCTGAGCTTCAGGTCATTTTGAGACTGAGGTGTCGAGCCTGGGCATAAAGGAATAGTTTGCTTTTTTGTTTTTTAGAAAGGCGGTATAACTATTAGAATCTTCAATCTTAAATTGCTTTCATAATTTTAAACAGCTGTTTAAAGGGCAAAGGGTAAGTCTGATGTACAACAAAAGAATATCATATAAAGAATGGAAGAGAACAAGACAGAGAATGTTCCACTCTTGGCTTCCTTTGGCCCTTTTATAATCTTGCTAATGAGCCCCATCTGTGCCAGCTTCTGAGTCTTTGCAACTTGTTTCTGGTTAGACTCACAGCCCTGCTTCTCTTTTATGGAAAACAGCAGTCTAAAATCAAGCCCTCTCACAGGGAAAGGTTGCCAAGCCATCTGGGGTCCCTCTGGGGACCAGAGAAGTTTAGCATATTCCATCAGAGGCAGGCAGATGTGCCCTACATAAAGACCAATAGCTGCCTAGCAAAGCAAAAAGAGAACGCAAATGATCACGAAAAATAATTTTTACTGCTCTGCTTAAAGGAAAAACAGATTTGATCTCTGCATACTGAAGTTACCATATCCCCAGGAAAGCAACAAACTGCCCTTGGGCACTGTAATGCCCTGCTTTTGTTCTGAATTATGTTTTCATAATTTCAAGTTTCTTTACTGCAGGTCAACTCAGAGCCTTTAATATACAGTGAATGAATGTATAACATGACTTTCTGAAAGGAGAATGTTATTTAAAGCATTTTCCAAATGTATCTTGGAATATGTTGGGACATTCTCATAGGCCAGTAGTTCTCAAATTTTAGCATGCACCAGAGTCACCTGGATTCTGTTAAAACAGGATTTTCTGTCTCACCCCCCCAACTCTGGAGTTTCAGATTCAGCCGGTCTGTGGTGGGCTCAATAATTTGCATTTCTAAGAGGCACCCAGGTGATGCTTCTTGGATGCTGCTGGTCCAGGGACCATTTTGGGGGCCACTGGCCCAGGTATATGGTACCCAAACCATATGGGTTTAAATCTATTTTTAGGGGTCCTTAATATCCTTCAACTCCCAACAAGTGGCAAACTAAAACATAGGTCTTGCCTCATTGAAATTTTTTTGTTGTTTTTGTTAAACTTCAATCAAAGATTTTTCAAAAGTGTAGATCAAGAATTACTAATGATCCATTGCGACCTCCAAGAGACTCACAAGTTGTTTTATTATAGCATTGGTGTGTATAATATGGCAGTGCCTGTTTCCAACAGTTAAGAAACATTGACTTACAGTATTTTATTGTTTCAGATTTTATCCCATTGGTGATTCATTAAGAGAAACCTTAGTCTTTTTGCAGATTTTGGTGGGATATTTTGTATACAGGTGTTTGGGCTTGTTTTAGGGGTTTTGTTTAAATTTTTGATCCCATTAAAAAGTTTTTAGGAAAAAAAACCCCTAACTTATAAGGACTTCGTGGAAGTAGTAAAGTTTTTGTGTGGCCATGATTGAAAATATTAATAGGAGATGGATGGTGGAAATATCAACAAAGAACGCTGAATCCTGTGGGTTAAGTATTAATACCAAACCTAGTTTAAATCAAAGGTATTTACATAGATGTTCCCTGTTTGCTATACGTGTCTAGGAATATTTTCAAGCCAACTATTTCCATACTTGCCTTTTCATTATAATGCATCTGTTCTTCCTGATCTTAGGGTGCAACAGGGAAACCAAAATTTAAGTTTAATGTTTGTTGTTATGCTAGTAATCATCAAGAACAATTCTAGTTCATGTCCATTATTCAAAAATCCCCAGAAACAGATGTGTTTCATAATTAGGAATTCAGAATTTCTATCACTATAGAATGCTAAACAGTGAACACATTGTGCAATATATGTAGCACTTCCAATAGGATCCAGGATGGCACTTGCTAAAGAAATGCATTAATATTGCTGTAGGACAATATATGAATAGTCACACTAAGCACATAATAAAGACAACGAACAGTTTTATAATGGTTACGTTTTGCTACCAAATAAGGTGAAGTTATGTCATTTTTTATATTGTTTAAAACAGCTTTATTGAGATATAATTCACATACCATAATATTCACTATTGTAAAGTATGCAATTCAGAAGTGTTTAGTATACTCAGAACTGTACAACCAGTGCCACTGTTTAATTTTAGAATATATTTATCATTCTCGATTTCTCCTCCTTTCTGGCCCCTGGCAACCACTAATTCACTTTCCACCTTTATGGATTTGACTATTTTGTACAATTCATATAAACAGAATCATACAATATTTGGCCTTTTGTGTCTATCTTCTTTTACTTAGCATAATGTTTTCAACGTTCATCCATGTAGTAGCACATATCAGTACTTCATTCCTTTACACTGCTGAATAACATTCTATTTTATGGCTATACTACATCCATTCATCAGTCAACAAACTTTTGAGCTCTCCACATTTTGGTTGTTATGAATAGTGGCATTATGAACTACCAGGGACAATTTCTTATATAAATATATTGGTATATACCTAGGAGTGGAATTTTTGAGATCATATGGTAACTCTGTTTAATTTTTTTGAGGAACTGGGAAATTTTTTTCCAAAATGGTGCAGCCATTTTATAGTTCCACCAGCAATATATGATGGTTCCAATTTCTCCTCATCCTGGCCAACACCTGTTATTGTGCATCTTTTTTATTATATGCATCCTTGTGACTTTGACGTGACATTTCATTGCAGTCTTGATTTTAATTTTCCTGATGGCTAATGATGTTTACATTTTTCATGTGCTTATTGGTCATTTCCATACCTTCTTTGCAGAAGTATTTATCCAAGTCTTTTGCTCATTTTTAAGTTGGGTTATTTCTCTTTTTATTGTTGAGTTATAATAATTCTTCGTAAACACTCCTTATTGCAAGCCTTATTAATTTGCAGAGCTCTGAAATATTAATAGTTGATTTTACAATTTTTTGCTAGTATTCTCCTAACCTTTATGGAGGATCTGTTTTTCAGAGCTTCTTATTCTGCCATTCCAGAAGTGCTTGCCAGGTCATATTTTATAGATCACAAAAAAACCTTTCATTTTTCAAAACTTTTTTGAACTGTGGAATTGTGAATAAGATTTTTCTCTGAATATAAATCATGCTCACATTTTTAAAAGCGAATTCTCCTTTGGAGTGCCCATATGATTTGAATGAAAGCGACAAGGAAATCATATGACTGGAAATATAGCTTTCTCAACGTCCAGTAGAACCTGTTGATGATGATGTGAAAAGAAAATCCAAAATGGAGAAGATTATGCCCGAGGTATCTAAAAAGGAGCTGGGAGGGCATGAAGAGTTAGACCCCAGTCATGTGCACATCCAGGTGGAATCTGAC